CAATCTCAACTGACATTTGTTTGTAAACACTTAAAGTATAGGAATATCCTAAGGTAGTTAAAATTGAACTTAACCCTATTTCTATTTTGTAAAGCCTGTTGGTTAATTACTCCCAGCCTATTGAGTCAATCTCAAACAATCTTGGCAGGTTGATGCTTTAGACAATGTTGAATATTCTCAAGGGGTTGAAAGTAACTTTGACTGAAATTTGCTGGATTGTTTCTCAAACAACCATGCTTTCCTCATGGTCAATGAGATGTTGGGTGTTCAAGGGTGGGATCACCTCAATCTTATATATATATATATATATATATATCCGTGTCAGCGTAAATTACTTGTACATGATGATGACAAAACCTTGTCAAAATGTTGTACATTTGCTATTATGTTAAACTTATATTAAAGTTTTTCTTCATTACCCATTCAAGCTGTCTCCAGCCATTATTAGTCTCAAAGTGGGTTCCTCGTCATTGAATTTAAATTACCTGTTGGTTTCAAATTACACAAGATATGAATAAAATTGTATTCACTTTGGACAGATGATTGCTTTCCTTCCAAAAGCCCTTCATTGTTTTTGGGTATATTGATTTATCTACAAATTTGTGTGTATTCCATAAATTACATTTTAACGAAATCATCTTCAGTTAGTTTTAAAAAATGTTGAACTAACATTACTTCTGCAGAATTGATTATTCTTCCAAATTTCATTCTTTAATGTGTTTTTACTATGTGTATTCTTCACTGGAATCCAAAAGTAGCTATCAATGACAAGTAATTGGTGACTTAAGATCTGAATAATTGTGAAGTTAAACAACCTATTAAGAAAATGTTTGGGTGGGCCAGGAGATCTGAAATGCATAATTTCTTTTACTCTAAGCCATTTTCTTACATGTATGACTGTTTTACCTTATGAGACAAATTTGTCTCTTGAATTTGCATATTGATTAGAAGAGACCTCTGGTGCAACAAGTGTTTAGGTTTTTACAAGAAATAAAACTATCTAACTAAATATCTAGACCATTTCTTGTTCAACAGATGAATAAAGTTAATTTTGTAATGCTCTCCACAGCCCTAGCTGTGTTGACGAGTACTAAATTACAAACCAACTCTCAGCTGATAAAATATACAAGACAACTTTATGTTCTATTTATTTTAGCAAAAACAGTTTGAATTTGTCATTACTTCAATTACTCATGAGTAGTATATTCGGTCATCTTTTCTTCGAATTTTTTGCTCCCACTGCTATTGGTAATTTTTTTTTTTTTATTTAAGGACACAATATGCTTTCTTCTCTTATGACTGTGTATGTTAAGTCAGCAGTGTTATTTAATGTGTAAATTTTGTGAGTTCAAACAGTTTCTTTTAAACTTATTTTTATTGGATGTAAAGTTTCTGTTTTGTAATGTTAGTTGAGTAACAATACAAGTACAGCTTTTGGTGGTTACTAAATTCTATAGATAGAAAGTATTAAAAGCAAAAATTAGTCTTTTTTACATTATAAATTCAGCCTTCATACTTTTTTTTATTCTCCTTATTTAACTCAAAGTCTACTCATTATTTTCTCTGGAAATAACTTTACAAATATTTATTCTAAGAGAATGTCATATCTCATCAAAAGAATCCACAATTGAATAACGACAGTATTTGGCACCATTAATTTTTGTTTTCTAATATTAAATACAAAGATAGAAACTACAGTTGTCAAAACATACAAATAGATTATTTGTATAAATGAAGGAGGGGAAATTGCATAAAAAAATTATAAACACTTGTTACAGTAAATTTATTTTATATTAAAGATCAGTTTAACTTGTAAGAGGTCTTAATTAAACTTTGATATAAGATTTGCAGTACGATTTTTCTTTAGATGTTTGATGCCAAGAATATGATGGCGGCCTGTGATCCCCGCCATGGAAAATACCTGACAGTTGCTGCCATGTTCCGAGGAAGAATGAGTATGAAAGAGGTTGATGAGCAGATGTGGAATGTCCAGAATAAAAACAGCAGGTTATTCTTGTTTGTGTGCATACAGTTATTAACTTGACAGATTTGAGAGTAGTTCACTGTACTTTAATGGTTTTAAGTTAACAGGAAGAAAACCCTGAAAAAGACAATTGTTAGTTGCTGAAATTAAGTCACTGAAAGATGTTCCAATAGAATGATTGCATTTATTCATCTAGGTTTCTATAATTTTCTATGGTCAGCTGCTAGTAACTACATTATTCTGTGATTGAAATAGTGTTTCTAATTGTTATATAAAAAAAAAAAACTAAAAGTAATGCGTAACAGTGTGTGACCTTGTACCTTCTCTTTTACCTGTACTTTAATTGATTTCTTCTGTTAGTTATTTTGTGGAATGGATTCCTAATAACGTAAAATTGGCTGTCTGTGATATACCACCTCGTGGACTCAAGATGTCGGCCACTTTCATTGGTAATTCCACGGCTATCCAGGAGATTTTCAAGAGAATAGGGGAGCAATTCACAGGTGATTATGGCATATTTGCAGATTAAATCAATTTATTTGTATTGTATTACAACTTTTTAGGCTTAACAAATGTTATGATAATAGTAACAAATATTGGGTAAGTACTGATTGTGAGTACAGATAAGTTTCTTTATTCTTATTATTAAAACCTTTAACGAAAAAGTATGAAGAAATATTATGAAGAGATTCTTTAGTCACAGAAAAAGAACTTCCTCTTTAGTATTTTGTCTACAATTATATGTCAAAGTTAACAGGTGTTCAACTTTATCTTTAAGATAATTTATTCCACTTTCCAGCACAGTATTGAGAATTATTTGATTGTTTGTATCAGGTGATACTATTATGGAAAATAGTAAAATTTGTCTTTGAGTCAATTCCTACATTTCTATCTTATTGCTATCTGGAACTGTTAACGTCTAAAACTCCTGCATGCATAGATTCGATGTACTATTTAAATGCTATTTAAAAAAAAAGGATGAAACAGTATGAAACTTAAACTTTCTACAGATCATTGATATCTACATGAATTTGCAGCTTTGAATTTTCAAAAATATTTAAATGTTTTTAAGAAACAATTTCAAATACTTAGCTTTATTGTAGACTTCATAACTGAAGTATAAAATTATAAAGCAAGCTTTGATGTTGTCAAATGTTGTCCACCAGTTTTACAATTGCTAAATGAGTTTTCAATGATGTGAAAACAATATTGTTTTATATAGAAGACAAAATGAGGAATTACATGAAAACCAAGGTTCAGAAATCATTAGTTGCTAATGTATATATGTATACACAATGAAAAGTACTCGTCCCCAGTGACAGTTAATCTACTCAATTTAAATTATTTCGTGGTTAATTGTGTTGCATTCTTGGTTTCACTCAGAGCTAAAGCTCTGAGCTACTTATACCACCCACCATGAAAAGTGATTGTTGAACATTTCAGTCATGATAAGAGCCACAACAATAACATAGTAAATCTACATTTTTATTCTTTAAGTTACATCACATTTTGAAATGTGAATGATAGTGTGATTAATTCATAACAATTTAGTGTACAATATTCAGCTTGTGAAATAAAATTTAGCATTAACGTTATTCATGCATGTTCTTCTGTCATTTCAAAAGTGAATGTTGAACTTTGCCCGTTTGTGCATCTTTACAAATGCATTATGGGAAAGCAACTGCTGTAAACAGGAGACAAATGAATACTCAGACAGGCACCACAGTTCATTTTATTTATATATAAAACACGCACATAAGGTTGAAATTTGTACTTTTTTTATTATTCAAAAATGTTATGACCTTCTTGGGGGGGTGAGTTTTTTTAGTATGTTGAAGAACAACTAGTTTATTTTTCTATAACTTTTTGTTTTTTTTAAATTAATGGTGCAATTTGTTCATCGTGGCAGGGGTGCACTCTTCCAGGTTACAATAAAGTTAATTACTTCATATTTGTGGTATGACTATTTCTATCATGAATGGTAAGTACAATTTATGAATTTTCAGATGTAATGTTTTTTCTATTAAAATTAATTTGAAGATTTCCAACATTATATTAATTTTTGTTTCTTAGCCATGTTCCGTCGCAAGGCTTTCTTGCACTGGTACACTGGAGAGGGGATGGACGAGATGGAGTTTACTGAAGCGGAGTCCAATATGAACGACTTAGTATCTGAATATCAACAGTACCAAGAAGCCACTGTTGATGATGAAGGTGAATTTGATGAAGAAGAGCCTTTAGAAGAAGCCGATTGATGTACCAATTTTTAATGCCTACAAAACCTGTAGTATAATACTTCATACTTAGGTTTTGTTATTAGAAGCTTTTTTTGTATCACTGCATGATTGTTTTGAATTGCTCATGGTATTTTTTTCTTTTTGTGTACAGCTAATATTAGATGTTTCTTTTGTACTAAAGATTATGTACAATCAAAATTCTGTAAGATAAAGGATTGTAAATTGTATTAGAGTTAATCTCAATTATGACCTAAAAAAGCAGTAAGCAACTATTCATTTCTAAGTGCTAATTAAAAGAAATTGAAATTATTTAATGTCAATTTTGATCTGTATCTTCATAGGATATATTCCTAAAATTATATTAAAAGAATTTGATTTTAGTGAATTTGTGTAAATATGCTTTATTTACAAAGATTTTTTTTTCAAATGATCAATATGCTCTGAAACTGTACAGTTGTCTATAAACACTTCTCAGATCTCATTCAGCTGAAGCATTTTAGAAAATGGGAAAATAATTCTATTTCTTGATTGTTTCTTCATTACTGTTTTAGTTCAGAAATTTTATACAAAATGAAATATTAACCCTGAATTACTTATTTATACAAGTGTCGTAGATATGAAGTACGAAAGTTTATTCAGTAGAAATACCCTAAACAATACTTACATCTGTAACACTAAAGAAGGTTACAAATATTGTTTGTTTTTTTTCCTTTTTAAGCTGTATGATAAATTTTTACATTTAATGAAAATGTACTAGAACTGAAAACAATTGTAAATATCCACAGAAAAGTTGATGTACCTGTATACTGAATATAACAATTTTTGAGATAATGATACCAAAAGGACTAAGTAGTATAAGATGGGTATAGTGCCTAAAAACCGCATTTCTACAGTTGTAAATGAAATACAATAAAAATTATTGTAAGAGATTTTGTTTTTATAGAAATAACACCTCCAAATTGTTATCAAATTTAACAGGGTTACATTCAACCAACCTACTCTATCCAAATCATCAGAGGCGTCATTTGTAATGTCTGCTGCATCATATATGCATGTAGGAAAGAATACCAATAACTTAAGTCAATTTGCCCATGATGGGATTGTCACCATATGACAAATAGTGTGCTCCAACCATCCATTAATGGTTGCAGTGAGTTAGAACTGACAGAATAATGTGTTTTTGGATCCATGCCTCTGGAACCTCCAAAATGCGTATTAAGTTTTTTATTAATATATATTGTACATATTAATTATTCTTTACCACGAACTGTCGCTAAATCGCCAATTTAGGGTAAAATTAATAGTTAGTAACGCCAACATCAAATTCATAATACTATGTTGAATGGTACAATGTAAAGGGTCGTGGCGCACAAACTTTGGCTACTACCCATGCACATGGGTTAAATGCGTTTTTATTCAAGACCCAGATATAATGCACTCCATCTTCACGAGGAAGTAATAAGATTGTAAAATGTGTAATGATTGTAAGATTTAAGGTGTATCGATATCAATGTGAAAATCCTCCTTCGTTGACAAAATGATCGTGTGGACCAAAGCCAAAAGAACTTCCTATGTGTGTTCATTAACTTGGTATCTTGCTTTTATTGAATGTGGTGTTATGATAACTTTCATATTAACCTTGTCAAATATTTAACAGTCAAGATATTTACAAGTATTACTAAACTAAAAGAAAAGCAGAACAAGTTTAACAAAAGGATACGGATACAGAGAAAGTACACCTTAAGCAAAATTATTTCTTAAATTATCGGCAATATATGATGATGAACAACATAATAAAGAAATCTGTTTCAATAAGAATAACCTACATGTGACCAGCAGTTGACAATAATAGTACTTTTAAGAATAACCTAGATGTTACCAGAAGTTGACAATAAGGATACTTTTAAGGCTACAAGACTTGATGATGATTTTGTTTTCATTCGTAAGTTCTTAGAATATTGTTAAAGTAAAGGTACAGAAGACTCATTGATAACGCTTTGCAGCGAATACGTAGTATATTTTCAGGACTATCTAGGCTAAACGCTTAAAAAATACCTACGAAGATGAATTATTCTTTATGTATGTGCAAATTACCCGTAAAAATAACCAATTTACAGGTTTATACATGTTTAGACTTTTAAATCACACCCAGAGCTGTGCTAAATCTACATAAAAGAGCTTACAAAATACGTGTTTGAGTTATCTCTAAAACCACTTCAAAATTATGTGTGTGAATGAGATAAAACGGTGTTTCAGCTTTTATCTGATAATTCGAAGAAACGACAAGGATAAGAAGATATAAAATTTGAGATACGTTTTACTGTTCCCGGGGGAACGAATAGTTTTTTTTTTTTTGCGGTTACACTTATCATT